ATTCATATTCTCCCGTGACTGACGAATGTTCTCTGTCACCCTTTCACCCAGACTGGGGGATAGTGTCTATGACTCCTTCATGATGGTCGATGAAACAAAACGCCCGCCCTGTTCCACTGCGCTCTGCAACCCTTCCGAGCCCCCTCCGCCCAGACGACTCAACGTAAGTGCAGGAAGCAGCTCTTCCTCTCGAACGGTGGAGGAAACAGGCAGTGCTACCTCGGGTGTGGGATACAGGGACAGGTCATTGACCACCTGGATCCTCCTCTCGGTGTGTTTCCTTTTGATTTCCCCTGATGGTGGACTCACAAGGTCTGGAGTCCGAGCTGGGCCCTGCAGAGAGATTGACTTTGGAACATCTCTCTCCCTGCCCATCGCCGGGCTCGCGGGGTGGTGACCGTACACGACTCCGATGTGCTGGTGGCTTGAGTTGCTGTGGAGTCAGTTCCAACTCATGGCAACCCCGTGTGTGCGGAGCAGGGGTCTTCAAGCAGCTCGCCAGGCCTGTCCTCCGAGGCACCTCGGGGCAGATCGGAGCCAACAGCCTTCCGGCCAACAGCCAAGGGCTTCACTAAATTACACCACCCATGGACTCCTTTAGACTGGACAGAGGCTAATACCCATAGAGTTACAAAGGCTCCTTTTCACAAATAAACAATGAGTGTGGGGGGTCTTCCCAACAATGGAAACTACAGCTCTATTGCCTGCCAGATAGAAATGCAAAAGGAAAGGCCGAGGAGAGGGGAAGGTTGAAATGCAGCCCTAGCTTATTAGCATGAAGAAGAGACTCTTTTTTTTGTATTTCATATTTTGAGACATGGATCACAAATAAAATGTGGGTAGTACAATTTGGTGTGGGATGCATGCATCCATTTGGGGGACTGCAGACACTTGGCCTTAAGGTAAGTGTCCAGTGCAGTCACATCCACTGCGCTCCAGCCTCTCTGGGGAGAGCCGGGGTTGGCCAAGTTCCCTGGCAGGGAGGAGAGTCTCCTCTGATGTTCCAATTCATTGCATAGCTCATCTAAAGGGGAAATTGAGTAATTGAATTGATGAGTCTGTACAACCTCTCCTTCTTAGTTTTGTGTTTAAGACCTCAAATGGTTTTCCTATGTGAAAAAAACCTACTTGTAAGTTTTTTTTTCTGTTAAAATCAAACCGCTCACCACTCTAGGGGCTAATAGTACAAAGCACAGGCTCAAAATATCTGGAAGGCTGGCCACCGTGTTTTCATGTCTCTTCTGGAGGACAAGAGGGCTTCCTTCCCCTCTTATTTCTTTCCATTCTAAAAACCTGTCCAATCCCCAGAAGGACAGCGATCTCCTTTCTCGTCACCGGAAGACGGAGTTTTTCAGGAAGCATTGTGCATCGGCCTGTTCACATCTGATGTACAGTTCAGTTTTCACTTTTAAGTCAGCGCCGTCAGGCGCCCATCAACTCCCAGTGTGGTTGTTACGTTGCAGGATCAAAATGAATTTGATTCTTTCCCGAGTGCGATTCAGGTTTAGGAAGCACACAATTTTCTCTTCAAACCCAATCAGTCGTGTCTTGGCAAACCTGGCCGAGCCCATCCTTTTGGTGCCCCTTGTAGTTCATTATGCCCTGCCTCCGTTCCCAGAGCCTGCCTCTGTTCACCAAGGCACCGAGGATCACTGTTTACCCAAGGTGCTCTTACGCCCTCATGACGAACTCTCACCCTGGTCTGGCTGCAGGCTTCTAATGGGTTAAACTCCCTGCTGCTGGGATGTGGTGTGAGGGACCAAGAGACCTGGATCAACGCTGCGCACAGCAGAATGAAGCACTGCCCAGAGGAGGATTTTTCTCTCTGGAGGAGAAGACAGTTCCCTTTTGGAAATTCTCATCAGGATCTTTAAGGCTTAGGGATCAGCAGCTCCCAAGATTAGCCAGGCCCCTCGTGGGCTACTGGACTTCTGTCCGTGGAAAGGTGGGACTAGCTGCACAACTCCTCCATAGGGTGTAACTGGTGCCACTGAATTGTCCAGGGAGAAGTGGTTGAATTGGCAGGTCTTTTGCTGTGAACATTCTCAACCACAACCAGGTAAATGAAATTGTTGAAAACGTTTGAAACATGACTAAAACAGTAGGAGGTTCTGTTCGAAATGCCCCGAGCTCACCGATGTCCTCAACAGGGTTTGTGAAGCGAGCTTAAGAAACGCAACGCGAATAGCCTGCTGTTTGTTCTCTGCCTCTCTGGGAGCACGCGCCTAGTGACCACAATGCCCAGCAGAGGTCGATTGTCTCCACTGGCTGATTATTGTGATTGCTAACCCTGGACCAGACGTCCATGGCGTGTTAAGCATTTCTTACTTCGACATGTACAGACACTGTCGATTTCTCCTAGAACAATGGAAGGAAGGTTCTATTTATAGCACAGCAGCCGGGATACACAGCTGATGTAGGCCACTCTGTGAGTTATTTACAGGAAAGAGAGCTAAGGAGAAAATGCCACCCTGTTTGGGAAAAAAACAAAACAAAAACCCTTCCTGGAATTCTTTAGCTACACGGGAGAGCCAAACACTTATAATCCATAATGGACTAGACCTGAAATGTGATCGCGTTCGGTTCCCGGAACCACATTTCCCAAGAGGCATGAGAGAAGGGCAGCCTATGTTGGAATGTCAGCAGGACAGCCAGGGACCTGCACACAGGTCACCTGAGGTGGAGAGGGTACAGCAGGGAGGATGAAGCTGAAGAAGAATGTGGGCCAGAGCGGGTAGGGGGTGGGGGGCTTTTCAGTATCAGAAGGGCTCTTAGGTAAAGATTAGGCTGCTTCATATGCACCCGGAGGGCAAAGTAAGGATTAATTTTGACGACAAGGGGTTTGGGCTTCCTGTAGAGGAAATCCATGAGTCAAAAAAACCCAAATGCTATCCTTTGTCTCAGGGCAGTAGTTCTGTGGAAGTTTGATTTCTGTTATGCATCTGTTCTTATTCGTGTGCTGTGTCTGAGACCCTCTCTTTATCACAAACAGAAATGAAGACCTCCAGAGCCAGCGCAGCCTTACATGTAGGCAGAGTAGGTGAGAAACCCAGGGACGGGCCTGGACCACAAATGCCTTTCCCACCAACTTGTCATTGGTGACTGACGAGCAGAGAGTCATTCCTTGGGGCTAAGGCAGTGACCTTCTGTTAAAATTCAAGTAACCCTGGAGAGGTATCGCCTTCCTTTGTCTAGTCGGTTCAAGGAAGGTTGTCTGCGGGGCAGGGGAGGGAGGAACGTTTGGAGACCAGCAGGGCCAGGCGTCGGTGGAAGCTTCACGGAGCTACAGGGCTGTGCAGCGTCAAAGGCCTGCTGGATGGGAGCGTGTGAAGTTGAACCTTTGTAGATTGAGAATCTGGCCCGTTGTCATCAGGGTTTTAAAACGGATTGTTTAGAGGGGCCTTTGAAACCTCTTATTAATTATAGTTGGACGGAGACAGCCTCTTGCTAGTAGATTATCATCTGTGTTTTGCAGAGGAAGAAGATGAGGGTAGGAAAGGTTAAAGCTGCCTGGTAACCTCACCGTGTCTAAGTAGTCATGTAGGGAGGACTCCAACCCAGATCTTCTGACTTCTCAATTTCTTCAAGGCACGCCCCCCCCAGGCACTGGCAATTAATACATGGAAAAAACAAAGCCATTAAAGAAGACCGGCTGAGATGCAGGCAAATGTTTATATTGATTATGTGACCCTAACTAAAGCTAGATCATTGGCTTTCTTTCCCCCCTTCCACCAAGCTGGCCCTCCAATAGACCCTAACCCTCTGAGAAGACCTCTTTCTCAGCATTAATAATAGGGAAACGGTGTTCGCATGCCGTTGCATGGTGGATGGGTGAAGAAGGCCTGCTTCAAATTTTCAGCCTTAAAACCAGGGATAGTTATTTGACCCAGTTATTTTTAAAAGTTTTCAATGCTCAGTTGAGTGGAAGTTTATATGTCAGATCATCAACCACGTTTCCATTTGACAGTTTGAACCACTCGCGAACCACCCCTCACCTGCTCCTTGATTTTTCTTCCCCCACCTCGTGGACCACCGTCCTGCATTCCACCCAAGTCAACACCCACCAACACTCTAGTCCAGGGGTCGGCACACTTTAGAGACAGAAGAGTCTATCATGTCCCTCGAAAAAATATAAAAAACTATTTGAGAGCCATTCGTATATCTTTATAAACAAATGAAATCACCATGATCTGCATAAGATCCTTACATTTTTTTCGGTTTTACTTCAGAGCCACATGTATGCCACCCCCAGCCCCCTTGACATTCCCCAAAGTCGGTTCTTCTTGGTGCGAAGGTCTTCACCTTGTCTCTTGTTTGTCTGATCGCCCCACTATTAGTTGCCCTGATGGTTGGTAAAGAAAGGCTGGGGGTGTGCCTACAGTGTAGCAAGCAAGGGCTTCAGCTCCTGTCTGTGGCCCCTTTGTTTTCGTGACCTGCGTTTGTTCGCTAGTTGGCATCAGAGAGATTGTTTGTGGTCCATACAAGGAGGCTTCAAAAACTCCAGCATCTTTTCTGAAGCCCCTCCCCCTCTGTTTCACCTTTCTGTTTTCTGACACAGCACACTGGCTGCTTCACTGCTAGGCTCCGACTGCTGGAGGCATGTCAACCCTTCATTGTTTTTCAATCCTTCTTCTGTGGTTTACTTTTTCACTTTTTAACTATTTTATATGTCCTTTTTGTTAAATGAGCCCGAGTTATTGTTTGCATAGGTTATATTAAACTTTTATTTTCTAAAGGTTTGGCTACTACTGTGGCTCATTGCTTTTGGATTTTTAGCACATGCTTGGAGATTTTAACTGTCGCTCCAGCTTCCACTAGAATTCTTTACTCATCATCCAACCCACGGCACAGAGTAGAGCTGCCCTGTGGGTTTCCGAGACTGTGCATCTCTGCAGGAGCAGAGAGCCTCTTCTTTCTCCCTCAGAGCAGCTGGTGGTTTCTAACTGCTGGCCTTGCCGTTAGCCGTCTTCCACGAACCACCCCACCACCAGGACGTCTCGGCTCCTGACCATCGACGCCCTAAAACTAGGAAATAGACCCAGAATTAAGTTCTTTGGGGTCCATTGAGAATGATGTCTTTTTGGTAGATTATTTTAAAAAGAATAAGATTTCACTTAATATTTTTTTCCTTCTAACCTCTTCTGTTTTCCTTAATATAAAAATTTTAAAGACTTGCTGGCTATATATATATATATATATGTATGTATATATATTTTTTACAGTTTCCCATTTTAAAATTTTCATATTTTAAAATGTATTATTAATTGAGAGTTAATACATAGATTATATCATTCCATAGTTCAATTGCCCCTACAATTTCCAAACATTCTTTTTCTTCCTGGACTCCTTGTCCTACATCGTCTCCCTTTCACTCCCCCCAACTCCCACCCCCACCCCCAGGGTGGCAATATTCATGTCTCTTTTCCTCTGTTGTTCTCCAAATGGCTTGTGGTGCCAGGAAGAAGTTAGGCACAATCAAGTAAAACGAGTGCTAGGCATTGATCAGATCAGGTGGGCCCATGTTGGGGAAGTGTAAGTGGTGGTGTGAGCGTGTGTGTGTGTGTGTGTGTGTGTGTGTGTGTGTGTGTGTGTGTGTGTGTGTGTGTGTGAGTGTGTGTGAAAGTGAGAATAAGAAACTGCCTCTTTGGTGGACATTTTCAAAGAAACACCCAAGTGTCTGGAATCCTCACTCCCTCTGCCTCTTCACCCCCACCCGCCCTCTCTGTGACTTTGCACAGCCCCCCCCCCCCCCCCCCCCACACACACACACACCTCCTCAGGACTCATCAGATACACAAAAAGTTGGCCTAAGTGACCCGGAGAGTTAACCCCCTGCTGTCCATCCCTTCTGACTCACAGTGGCCCTCTCCCTTGGGGGTTTCCAAGGCTGCACATCTTCTGGAAGCAGACTGCTTCACCTGACGCCTGTGAAGTAGTTGGCGGCTTTGAAGTTGGGACTGTTCCCATTAGCAGCCTAACACTTAGCCCACGGTCTCTCCAGAGCCTCTTCCCTCTTCCTCACACTTAATGGCATCGAGTCGATGCTGACTCATAGCGACCCTGTAGGACAGGGTAGAACTGCCTCTGGGTTTCCAAGACCGGAACTCTTTCTGGGAGTAGCAAGCTCCGTCTCTCTCCTAGGAAGTGTCTAGCGGTGTCAAACCGCCGACCTGGCAGTGAGCCACCCTTCATGTAACTGCTATGCCACAAGGGCCCTTCCTTTCCTCTTTAGTTCTATAATCATTTATATGGGGACCCAGGAATTAGCTACTGAATCCTTGGCTGACTCCTGGACCCTGGGCTGGGAGTCAGAAGACCTGAGTTCAAATCCTGCTACTGCTCATGATTATAGAGTTCACGGGACACTTGAATGTGTATTATTTCAAGCCTGTTACAGGCCCGCAATATTTGGGAAGCTCCCTGTAGCAATTCAGAGGTAGTATAGGACATGTTGTAATGAAGGACCTAGTAAATTTGCAGTGTTGATGCTCAAGAGCTGCAGTTAAGATGTGAGGGTAATTAGTCTGGGCTTGGAAGAGCCCTACGGAGAAGAGAGGACTTGGGAGAGCCCATGGCGGGAGGGCAGGATTTGACTGACTGGGAGGACCAGGATTCTCAATGTGAAGACGTACTTGTAAGGCAGAGCCTGGCATGTTTGGGTTTGTAAGCCAAAGCAAGGACTGCATGGGGTATGGGCATGGCCCGACAACTCAGGGAGCCTGCCGATTAACATAGCATCAGGCTCTCGTATTGCCCTCTGGGCCACTGTGACCTCAAAGGAGACATGACCGGACATGTTGGTTTTGCTGTCACTGTTGTTCAGCCGGGGGGAAGGGTCCTGGGGTCCCTCCGATCTGTCCCCAGGCTTTCATGTCATCTGCGTGTTCTCTCCTCCGTAGATTACGACTGAGCTGCTGACCAGAGAGCACACGCAGCGCTTTCTGAATGGAGGCGAGATGAAGGTAGAGCAGCTCTTTCAAGAATTTGGCAACAGGAGATCGGACACTTTCCAGTCCACCGGCCTCTCGGACTTGGAAAAGTGCTCTCCCACTGTGTCTCAGGGTAAAAGTTCAGACAGCTTGCCCACGGCCAAGTCCAGCAGTGCCTCCAAAGCGCCCAAAGTGGTGCCTCTGACCCCGGAGCAAGCCCTGAAGCAATACAAGCACCACCTCACCGCCTACGAGAAGCAGGAAATCACCAGCTACCCAGAAATTTATTTTGTGGGGCCCAGTGCCAAAAAGAGACAAGGCGTGGTTGGCGGGCCCAACAACTCGGGGTATGATGACACAGACGGCGCCTACATCCACGTGCCTCGAGACCACGTGGCCTACCGCTACGAGGTGCTGAAGGTGATCGGCAAGGGGAGTTTCGGGCAGGTGGCCCGGGTCTACGACCACAAGCTGCGGCAGTACGTGGCCCTGAAGATGGTGCGCAACGAGAAGCGCTTCCACCGGCAGGCGGCCGAGGAGATCCGGATCCTGGAGCACCTGCGGAAACAGGACAGAACGGGCAGCATGAACGTCATCCACCTGCTGGAGAGCTTCACGTTCCGGAACCACGTCTGCATGGCCTTTGAGCTGCTCAGCATCGACCTCTACGAGCTCATCAGGAAGAACAAGTTCCAGGGCTTCAGCGTCCCTTTAGTGCGCAAGTTCGCCCAGTCCATCCTGCAGTCCCTGGACGCCCTCCACCGGAACAAGATCATCCACTGCGACCTGAAGCCAGAGAACATTCTCCTAAAGCACCGGGGCCGCAGCGCCACCAAGGTCATTGACTTTGGGTCCAGCTGCTTCGAGTACCAGAAGCTGTACACGTACATCCAGTCTCGGTTCTACCGCGCTCCGGAGGTCATCCTGGCCAGCCGCTACAGCACACCCATCGACATGTGGAGCTTCGGCTGCATCCTGGCAGAGCTCTCGACAGGGCAGCCCCTCTTCCCCGGAGAGGACGAAGGAGACCAGCTGGCCTGCATGATGGAGCTGCTCGGGATGCCGCCGCCCAAGCTTCTGGAGCAGTCCAAACGTGCCAAGTACTTTATTAACTCCAAGGGCCTGCCTCGCTATTGCTCCGTGTCGACTCAGGCAGACGGGAGGGCTGTGCTTGTGGGGGGCCGCTCCCGTAGGGGCAAAAAGCGGGGGCCCCCAGGCAGCAAAGACTGGGTGACAGCCCTGAAAGGGTGTGATGACTACTTATTTATAGAGTTTCTGAAAAGGTGTCTTCACTGGGACCCCTCTGCCCGCCTGACCCCGGCTCAGGCATTGAGACACCCTTGGATTAGCCAGTCCCTGCCCAGAGCTCTTGCCACAGACAAAGTGTCCGGGAAACGGGGGGGAAACCCTACAAGTGCTTTCCAGGGCCTGGGCTCCAAACTACCTCCAGTTGTCGGAATAGCCAACAAGCTCAAGGCTAACCTCCTGTCAGAAACTAGTGGGGGGATACCTCTGTGCAGCGTGTTGCCAAAACTGATTAGCTAACGGACAGCCGTGTGCTCAGAAATGCATACCCATGCATTTGTAATGGTCTTGCACGCCTGCAGGCGGGAGGGGACGGAGCAGTGTGAGCCCGCCGGTGGGTTTGTTCTGTGAGGCTGGGCTGCTTGGGTGTTATCCGTTTGGTTTTGGTTTTGGCTTTTTTTTTTAAAGACGAACAGAAAACAAACATTTTTTTTACGATTGTAAAAACTCTTCAAGGGCTACTGACCTACTCAGCTTGTATTGGCCATCCTGGAATATACATTAAATGACTTTTTGTAGGTCAGCGCATCTCTTGTCGTTGTTGTCCACGTGCACTTCAAGGTATAGGTTTATTCTACCGGGTTAAATCCCTTTTCTTGCACGGCGGGAGGTAATGCCAAAAAGCTCACCCTGACCTCTCTTGGTTGTTTTTCTGCTCCCCCCAGCGTCTGTCTGTCCGGGAGGGGTGATTTGAGACGTGTCAGAGTAAGAATGAACTTTATTACCGTAGCCTCCTACGGGGTCAAGTGGGGCCACAGCCTCCCAAGCGCAAGGGGCAGGTGGCAGGCGAGACCTCCGACCCAGGCCTTGGCCATTTCAAGTGGGGGACATGCTGGCACTTTGGTGACCGGGAACATGGAAACTATTAAAAACCTTCATTCTCCCCCAGAAGGCAAGGTAATTCACAGCCCCTTTCCATCTGTCTGAGCCCCTGGGCAGGCTCAACCAGCTGAAGCTGCGCCGTGTCTCGCCTGCTTTATCTAGGCGGAGCACGTGTGGAGCTGGCTCTGCCCGTTGTTATCGGTGTGGGAAGGCTGCTCTTCTAATCGAACTGCCCAGAGGATGGCCACCCAAACATCTGGCCTGCACTGGCTTTCGGTGTTTGTGTTTTGACCCAGGGGACTCAGGCAGCCAGCACCGTGACAGGGAAGGCTGAGGAAGGTCTCTTACTGCACACTGCGTCCACTGGGGGTCCTGGAACTGGCCCGAGTGAACAGATAGAAACAGGCCCTGACACTGTACACACATTCGAGGGCGCGCTGAGACGTTGAGGTGAATGGATATGGTTTTTGTTTTGTTTTTTGGCCCTACATTTGGCAACCTAGAGAGTGACACAGCAGAGTCATTTGGGTTGGCATGGCAGGCTGCTGCCGGCCCATTCAAGTTTGGGGAGAGGCTGCAAGCAAACGGGTGTGGGTGTGCAGTGCAGATGGATCTAAGGACGCGTGTAGACAAGTCTCATCAGTAGGACGGGCTGGCTTTTTGAAGCTGTCACCCTGCGCCCGCCTTTTCAGTCTCTGCTAATGTCCACTTGGATCCCCGCCTGACCACAGCAGGGAGGGGAGGAGGTGGGTCTGAGTTAGTGCGTGATTCAGACTGGATGGTGTGGGCCGTCGTCACCCGATGGTTCTTTAGCTACTCATTTAGGTTTAGACAGGTCAAGTTGGTTGGCTTACGGATTTTGTTTAGTTTCCGAAACGATGATCGGCCCCATGACAGAGTTGCGTTTTCATTGATTGCGTTTCTCAGAGCGTCCTTTTCTCTGTCCGAAGGAGCCTAGCTAGCCCAGCTGATGAGCCTTTTCGAGCCTGTGCTGCCTTCGACCTCCCTGCCCAGGATCCCGCCTTCGCTGATGGCGTCAGCTTGCCACCTGCTTGCATTGGCAGGGAAGGGCCACGTGTCCCACAGCGTTCTTGGCTAAGGACAGATTTTGGTGCTTAGGGGTCAAGTGCAGCTGCCGGAGAGTGGTTTCTCTCCCTTAGAGTTCACCACTCAGTTAATCTCAGGTCTCTTTTTTGGGGAAAGAGTAATCAGGGAACGGTTAGGTGAGGCTATTTCTTCTGGTCCACTTATTAGATCTCATGGCCCTGAGTTAGATTCCAACTCAGACCGACTCTATAGGACAGGGTAGAACTGCCCCTGCCCAAGATTGTGACTCTTTATAGGAGTAGACAGATGCATCTATTAGGTCTCACTCCTATTGAGTTGATTCTGACTCACGGTGACTCCAAAGGATAGGGTAGAACTGCCCCTGTGGGTTTCTGAGACTGTAACTCGTTATGGGAGTAGAAAGTCCCACCTTGCTTCCGTGGAGCGGCTGTTGGTTTCGAACTGCTGACCTTGTGGTTAGCAGATCAATGTGTCACCATTCTGCCATCACGGCTCCTCCTCATCTGTGAGAGAATTCTCTTGAAATAATGAAAACAAAGATACAATCATACAATAGGTCCTGCAGGGGCACAGTGAATGAGAAAATCGAGGCAGAATCTATCTAATTCCTGGAAGAACTTGACTTAGGACTATTTTCCCACTGCCTCTGAGTTAGGTGTGACACAGAGCAACCCTGCTTAGGGTTGTTTCTACATGACGAACCTTTACAGGAAGAGACAGCCTCTTCTTTCTCGGCAGGAACAGCTGGCAGATTTGACCCGGGGATCTTGGGTCAGCAACCCAAAGCCTGAGCCCCAGCAGCCCCAGGCCTCCCCCCTGACTCTGTTTGCATGCTCCATTCTGGAGGTGCTGCAGGATGTGGTGGACAGCTGGCTACCTCATGAATGTTTTCGTGGCGTTTACTCCGTTAAGAATGGGCAGCATTGGCGTACACAACAACAACAACAAAGTTCAAATGAATTCAATGACAAAACAGGTCGGATCTGTAGCAGCTGGTTGTGTGGAAACGCTTTCTGTTCTGCCTGTTTCCTGACCAGGCATCATTAAAGTGAAATGCTAAATGCTAGGGAGCAGCTGATGCATGATGGCTAAGCCTTCCTGACTAACAGAATACTCCTACTGCTTTGATGAATCATGGACACCTCTCGTGTGTTTGGATGAGTTCTTTTGCATCTGTGAATTCTGTGTCATCAGCCCAGACGTTGGATAGGGGGCTGACCGCTCCAGGCTTTCCCTGTAGCTTTCTGTCCTCAGCGAGTGAAGGGAGGGTCAGTGTCCATCTTCTGAATGGGGCGGGACTGCCCAGAGCCCATGCTGCAGCCTCCTCTTCCTGCTCTTGCGGGGGTGGGGTCCAGAGAGCATAATGACTTTGTACTGAGAGGAGCCAGCTGCATGATAGGGAAAATCTGGAATCTGTCCAAATAAGGAGTGCGACCGGGCCAGGGACTGGCAGATCAAAGAACCCACGGTTGCTGCTGGAGATCAGTCTCCCTGGTTCCAAATGCCTCGTTTAATATCCTTCACTTTCATGTGTCCCACTTCCGACATCCACGTGCACTTCCCAAAGCCCAGGGACCCAATGTATTTCTCGATCTGGCCTTCAGCTGCAGCCAGTGGAGGCGGAACCCTTCCCCAATGCCTGTCCACTTCTGCCTGCCGATTTCAGTGAGAACTGGGAATGCCCTCGTCACAGTGAGGGGTCCCTGAGCTCTAGAAGCCCTGAGATAAGCCAGAGCCACAAATACTTCGTCTAGACTTTGAAGGGGCAGACTTGGGTTCTTATTATAGCTCACTGACCTCTCTGTCAGGGCTGGGCTCGGATCATTCTTCTAGAACTGCTGAGAAAGCCTCTCGCCTCTTCTGCTGCCACACAGACAGACTAAAAAGAGAGCAGAGGCCCAAATCAGGCCGAGCCCTGCCCGGCGGCTGTATCAGTGAAGTCTGCCAGCCTCTAAAAAGGGGCTGGTCGGAATCTCTGGTATTGTGGGATGCTATCATTGTTCATTTCTGTCTGCTGACACCTTTCCTGGGGAAAGTGCAGTTTGGCACTAGTGAGATGGCGCTTTATTTATGTGGGGTGTGCGTAAGGGTTCTTGTTTGTTTAAATATCAAAACGAATTGCTTTGAGAGATTTTCAGCATCTCATGCTTCTTTCAGAGCCAGGACTGGGGATGTTCTCAGCAGGCCCTGCATGTTCTACCCCAAAGTGTTCCCAGGAAGGTGGGTGAGCACCACTTGCCCTGGGTTATAGGGCTCTGCTGCAGGGGCACCTCTAAAGCCCATCTGGGTGACGATAATGGCGGTGGGGGCAGGTCCAAAAAAGGAGGTCTTGGGAAGAGGAAAGGAGTGGACTGAAATCCCACCAGGGAGATTCAGCCAGTAGCCATCGAGTTCAGCCTGGTGTGTGAGCAACAGCCTTGTGGAGGATGGAAATGGAATGATGTCTGTCTGGTTGGTTGTCTTAAGAATTCTCAAGAAACAAGGAGAGAGACGTTTGAAGGTTGGGGTGGAGGTTAGGGGGCTTCAAAGGGTTCATGGCTATTTGAATTAAAAGATCATGGAATTTTCCCACAAAAATTTTTGAAGTCCTCCTGTGTATGTATGTATATAGAGTAGGGAAAGAGAGAGAGAGAGAGAGCTTGATTTACTTCAAGGGATGGGTTCATGCCATTTTGGGAGGTGGAAAGTCCAAATTCCATAGGTCAGGCAGCAGCCCAGAGACTTCTGCAGGCTTCCACCCCTGGTCCACAGGTCCGCAGCAAGCTGGGGGTTTCCACAAGCTCACTTGTTAGCATCCCTGGGTGAGACCTCAGGCTGGGGGCTTCAGGAGGCTTTTTGTACCATGATCTCGAGATGACTCCTGAGAGAGTTCTGCCCAAACAGCTTTTCATACTCTGAAGGCAAGCCACGCCCAGAGGAAGTACCCCTTCCAAGGAATTGATGGCTCACATTACATCAGCTTGCCTCATGGAAGCAGATGATATTACTTTGCGTCAGATTACATTACGGGACAACAGCGAGTCTAATGTTTGGCAAAACTGCTGGGGCCCATCACCTAGCCAAGTTGGCACACTAAGGCAGCCATCACAGCGGTACTTAGGAAAGATCAGTTTCCGGGGCGCCCTGACTTTTACCTGGGCCCCCAGCTCAACGTGCTGAGCAGCTTCAAGGAAGCTGGAGGAGATGGTCTCACCCCACCCAACTTTGGTTGGAGGGACAGCTGTTTTGGGAACCTGAAGGGGCTGAGCAAACGGGAAGGAAGGAGACCCCATAGGCATTCTTGGGGCCTTCAGGCAGCTTTGCTCCGGCCGGCTTCTGATCAGGGCCTCAGTCATTATTGCCTGGACAACAGAAGCTAATTGGATGCTGTTCCAAGAGTATGCCTTCTGTGACCCTTGGCTTGTTCCCTGGATTCTAGAATAGTTTTTCTGCCTCCTGAGACGCTGGCTGGTAGAGGAATCTTTGGCCAGCCAGGATTGGGTAGACGATTCAGCTCTGAAGATGGCTGTCCACAGTGCCCCATGAGTGACTGCACCCCAAGCCAGGCACACTCCCACTGTTTTTCATTTAAGGCTAAAATCACGAGGGGTTGGGAACGGACGATGTACACACGGCGAGCTGAGCTTCAAGCCTGCCGC